AACAAAAACAAGAAAATCAAATCCATGATCCGCACTCATTATCTAAGGAAATTCATCTTTCATATCGAGAGTGGAGAATACAATAAACAGGCTTCCTGCGACCTGAGCCGGATAAAATCCATTTCTAGTTCAGCATTTGCAACCACGGAATTGAAATTCTTACTTTACGTTGATCATTTCCCCTAACATTCGATTGCAATAATTACGAAGGTTCAAAGCAATCAAGGACTCATAATTTCACATAAAAATTGGTACTAAAAATTAATCTAGTATCAAAACAAGAAAATGAAAATTTGACAGAAGATCAAATAAAATACAGCAAAAATGCATGATCATACACAATATTCAACACCTGAAACACGCACAAAAAAAGAAGAGAAAAAAAAAAAACTCATTAACAACTCTAACCTCTTTGGCCGAGAGCTCGGAGGCATAGGGAAGCACGAAATTGACAGTGAGCTTACTAGGGATAGAAGAAGGCGTAGCAGGTCGAGGAGACATGAAAGAGAGAGGAGTTTTAGGAGGATCAATATTAGGGATCATCTTCTTCCAGGCGGCGACAAAGGCATCGTCGGTGGAAGAGGCCGCCGGCAGATCGGCAGAGAAGGATCTAGTCCTTGCAGAGAAATGAGAACGGGCCAAAAGGCTGGAAGCTCGTCGGAACATGGCGAAGAGTGTAATGTGTCGCTCGGCTCTCGCAAGGTCGGAGAGAAATGAAGAAGAAGAAAGAGAACTGAAAGGGTTCCGCTGGCGCTGTTTGTAAGCTGAGAAAATGTCGGAACTGCCGAAACCATTGCGAATCGGAGCCACATAGACAGCCTTCTTTCACTATTTTAGTGGGCTTTCAATACTTCTTTTGGGCCCATAATGAGTTTCCTTTTGTGGGCCTATTAGGCTTTGGGCCCAACAGGAGGTTTCTTCTAAGGACCGAGATAATAAAAATTTTATTTTTTAAAAAATATAGCGGAGAATTTATTATTAAAATAAAAGAAAAATTATGACATCATTTAGAGTATCTGTTTAAGTTAATTGTGTAAAATTAATTATATAAATTATTTTAAATATATTTTTTAAATTAAAATAAATTATGTCGCCGTAAATAATATCACGCGCACCTCTAATTCTTATATATCATTCAAACGTCAAATTCTATAATTTATTTTAATTATATATATATATTAATAAGAAAATTATGACATCATTTAGAGTATCAGTGTATAATTAATTATATAAATTATTTTAAATATATTTTTAAAACTGAAATAAATTATGTCGTTGTAAATAATATCACGCGCACCTCTAATTCTTATATATCGTTCAAACGTCAAATTCCATAATTTATTTTAATTAAATATATATATATATATATATATATATTATAGTTGCATGGTGGTGGGTTAGTTTGACCATTAAATTGTGTGGGCAATGGGCATCAAATTTGAGTTGGTATAGCAATTTCACATTAATATTAAATTGATAAGACATTGGAAATGAATGACATATGTTAGAGGCTAGGGGAACTATCTACCTAATGCTATTTTCTTTTCGAACAACCTATTGTTATACGATTTAAATTTTGACACGTGGCACGTCATTTAAAGAAATAAATTTTATCGATGGGTCGGTTGGGTTTTTGCTAAATATCGAGTTCGATTGGTATAATGTCGTACGAGCTCGTATTAAATCTTAACACGTGGCATGTCGCTTCACATAAATAAATTTTATCGATAGATTAGTCGGATTTTGTTAAAGGTTGAACTGAATTGGTACAGTATCGCCTAAGATGTTATTAAATCTCGACACGAGGGACATCACCGACAATTTTGGAGGTAAAAATTATTTAAAAAGAAAAATGATATTAGAATGTCTTTGGTGAACGCCCATTGTACTTATATCCAATATGATAAACATTGATTTTGGTGAACTAATGGATAATGTTGGTTTTGACTATTAAACCCAAATATTTAAGGGATTTGTAGTAAAAATTCCGCATATCTTTGTCTGTCCTACGTGGAAACTTCTTATAATATTTCTTTATTTTCTTTTTTTCTTTTAATTCCAAATAATTAAAATTTAATGACGGTATTCGGTATTCGTTGCGGTCTTGATTGTGGATGAAGTGGCATCAGTCTCGAACCTTATTAGGGTTTGACTTTGAACTTGTCTATCGTTATGCTAAATGAGCCTAAGAGTTAAACCAAATGCAACCTAAATTTCTGGTTAGCCTCGAGCTACTTGAGTTGGCTCGTTTTCGTTTCATGCTTCTTGGATCCGTTTTGTTCTCTATTCTTGTGTTGTGGTAGATCAAATTTTTTCTCGTAACTTACAATATCACTCGTTTGATGTTTGTTGATTCTATTTTCTTTAATGTTGTGTGTTACAAATTCACGAACTCTTAAAAGTATATAACGAGTTTCTCAACGCTTGATTTTACACAAAATCAATAACTCGAGAGCATCAACTTTAAAGATAAAACGCAAATTCACTATGGAAAAAACTTCACCATTTTGGTTATCACATAAGAAAAAGGGCAACATTGGAAACTTAATACACCGCTAAATTTGAGCGGGAAAAGTGAATTAAAAAAATTACTTAATGAGAGCACCTCAATCTTTAAATCGGAGAACGTCAAACTCTACTCGGGCTATACTAGGCTTCACCTCCGATATTAAGGAGTTCGAGAGCACGAGGGAATGAGCTTTCATTCTCGGGACCACCTCGTTACTCGGCTCCTCTCTTGAAGATATGAGGAAAAAAAAGCAGGTTGAGAGGAACCAATAAAAAGTCAGAGTAGAGTCTCGTACAATCTTCTCGTTCTAATTTCATTTCTTTTACATTTTTACCCTAAAAAAGAAAAAAAGAAAAAAAAAACAAATTTGAAAGGTAATTTAATAAAAATAAATAAAAATAATAAACATTTAATATTAAAAAAAATATAAAAAAATTAATAGTTTAAGGTAAGAAAAGGGAGACATGGGAGGAGTGGCGATGAAGCAATGGAATACACAGAATCCCAAGTGCGTGGAAATGGGAAACAAAACAACATTTTTGATCTGTCAAAATTCCATTTTATTATTATTATTATTATTTTAATTTTTTAATTTTCAACGCAGGTAATGATGAGTTTATGGATTAATTTTTTTTACTAAATTAAGAGAATAAGAATCCTGGATATACGCTTTTATTTTAATTACTTTATATTATTAATCATTTTTCTTTCCTCTAATTAATCATTTCCAAAGTTTCAATTTCAACGTCAACCGATAATGTTTTAAAACGTGTTTATTAAGGAGAGATTTCCTCATCTCTGTAAGGAATGTTTCGTTTTTATCCAACTGATACGAGATCTCACAATCTATCTGTTTAGGGACCCAGCATCTTCGCTGGCACACTGTTCGGTATCTAGCTCTACACTATTTGTAATAGCTCAAACTCACCGCTAATAGATATTGTAATTTTTGGACTTTTCCTTCCTGATTTGTCCTCAAAGTTTTAAGACGCGTCTGTTAAAAGAAAGGTTTCCACGAGAATTTCAGGAATAAAAAAAAAGTTTAAGGAAAGATAATGATGGATTACAAGCTTAATAATGCGATTACTTTTATTATTATCTTCCTAATTATCCGCTATATTACCTCTTTATATTTATATATTTATTTATTTAATTACAATAAAAGAAATTAATTAAGAAAGGATTAGGTGCGGGCATGTGTAGAGTTAAACCCTAGGGATGCATTTATTATTCACACCTATATTTTATTTAATTAAAAATAATGAACATTGGCAGGTGTGAAATTAAATTAACCGTATTAAATGCTACACCACCAAATAGACCAAAAAAATGAGTTAAAACGGGGAGTTTTATTACTTCATAATATTAAAAAAAAAAAAAAAAAAAAAAGAGTCTAAAAAACCTACGTATAATTCATGATTAATAAAAATTAGTATTTTAAAGCTAATTTTATTTTTTTAAATATTTTGATTATTTTTTAAAGATTACTTTTGATTATCTTACTAAACATTATAACAGCTTTGAAAAATACAAGTAATAGACTACTTCTTGTTCACTCCAAAATATTCCAAAGAAGTGTGAATAAAACAAACTCATAAACAAAATTAATTTTATTTTTAAAATATTACATCATATATAAATCAAACGAGTGAATGAAATAATTCTTCGTGTACTCGATCATCTCTTTGAACGATGATATTTATTTGTCGGAACTATCCAATCATTTAAAGAATTATAGAGTTTTCGCATGATTATTTTTTCAAGTTTTAATACATTTCTATTTTTAATTTTACCTATAAATTATAATATATAATATATATAGAAAGATTAATTTTATTATTTATTATTTTTTAGAAAGGTAATTATTCAAATTAAAAGTTGACAATGAGCTATATTAAATTTTATATGCATGTGAGTTTTACAAATTTCAGTAAATTCAATAGAACAAAATTAAAGGGGAAGAAGTCAAAAATTGAAGTTTTTGTTTTTTTCTTTTATAAAAAAAAATCTGAAAAACATTAGATTAAAATATAATAAGACTTTTTCTATAATAATATGTTAATTTATATATTTTAAATAAATTTTAAATTTAATATTTTTTTATTAATTGTTATTACTATAAAATTTGAAAATTAGTATTTTTTTTTATAATAAATTTCAATAAAATGTAAGTTGGAATAATTAGATTTAAAATTAAATATTTAATAATATATGAATTAAAGAAAATTAGCAATCATTTTCCATCCGACTCACTCGCATATCCAAAAAAAAATAATAATAAATAAATAAATACGTGTCACTTGTTTTTCTCAATCCATCTCTCACGTGCATCTCACGTGTATTTCTCTTTGATCCCTTAAGGTTAAGGAAACCGAGAGACCTGCCCAAAAAAACTGACCGCGGCATTTATACTGTTTCCATCTCCTCCATTTTTGTTTCCCTCTCCTCCATTTTTTTGTTTTCTCTCTCTAAAACAAGAAAAATTGCTGCAATGGCTTCTCCACCGCCGCCGTTGCCGGACGCCTTTGGAGGCTCCATCATTGACTACGTTTCATCCTCTCCTCCTCTCCCTGCGGCGACGGTCGTGAGTCACTCTTCTTCTTTGAAGAATCTGAGTCCGAGCATCTTAATCATTCTTACGGTTCTCGCTTTGACTGCTTTTGCTTCGGTGATTCTTTGCCTCGTTCTTCGATACCTTAACCGGCGATGTCTTCTCCGCCTCTCTGCCGTGCCTGGATCGTCGTCGACGTCTTCGTCGTCGTCTGTTTCTAGGCGCCACATCATTCCAGTTGAGCAAAGTGCTGTTCGATGTACCAATTCATTCTCTCCGATCGACTCGCTTCCTCTGTTCTCTTTCTCCTCCGTCACGCGCCGTTCTTCAACTGCCGTAGCCGATTGCGCCGTTTGTTTGTCGAAATTTGAGGCAGAGGATCAGCTTCGTCTTCTTCCTCTCTGTTGCCATGCCTTTCACGCGCAATGCGTCGATACCTGGCTTCAATCGAACCAGAGTTGTCCTCTTTGCCGCTCCGCCATTTTCGCCTCCGAATCCGACGTAATGAAGGCATCTATGGCATCCTACGCCGCCGAAGGTCGCGGCGGAGACAGTTTCAGGCTCGAGATTGGCAGTATTAGCCGCAGACAGATCCCTTCCGAGTCCGGCGAAGGGAGGAGGTCATATTCGATAGGATCGTTCGATTATTTCGTGGAAGAAGATTCTGAAGTAAACTTCACTCATGCGCACCGGAGAAGCGTCTCCGATAAGGAAGACATCGAAGCTCCCGTATCGGCAGTGTCTACAGAGCAAAGCCTAGCAGCGGAAGTCGGCTCGGGAAGAAATTGGCTGAAGGACTACGTCGACAGGCTCTCCAATTCCGTCTCTTCTCGTGCACTGTCATTCCGAGGCTCCGGCAGGTTCTTCACTGGAAGTAGCCGTCGGAGTGAGGTAACCGTCGTGGGAGATTGGGAACAGGAGAACAGTCGCGTCGGAGAAGAAATAAGCGAGCTATTCCGATGGTTTTCAGGGGTATGATCGTAATTATCACATCTAGTTACCCTACAACGCAGAGGATTTGCAATTTTGGTTATCGGCGGCCGGTACGCAATTTTTCCTTATTGAAAACGAACGGTCAAGATTCCTCCTTCTTTTTGATCCTTTTGATTATGTCAACGGCTGAGATTAAAGCTGGTAATAATACACCAAATATCACCTAGTTGGCATTTAATCAAAAGCTCAAAAAGATTGGTGAGATTTTTCTGTTCCTTCTTTCCTTCTACCTCGTTTGGCTGAGATTTAAAGTAAATAAAAGTTTCCCATCGTGGCAGTGAAGCCAATAAACAACAGTGAACTCATATTTCATGAAAAACGCTAGCAGATCAGGGGCCTTTTTGGCAATACACATCTGAATTTTTATTTTTAAATTTCCACATACATATATAAATTCCATTTCTTCTTTCTTTCTTTCTTTCTTTCGTTATTTATTTCAATTATTTCCTGAATTAATTATGGTGTAAAATGTTGTTGATATGTAATGAATGATTTAGTGTACGGTGAGAAACACTGATGGAAATGAGAGCAATATGGTATGTTGTCCCAATTGCTTAGGAATCATTGCTTTGCTTGCTTGTGGAAATTGTAAGCCAAAAAAGAAAAGAAAATAGGAAAGTGGATTGCTCAAAATAAAAAGAGGCCAAGATTATAGGTACCCCCTTGGGCTTTCTCAGATTCTTTAAGCTACTTCTATCAGCTAAACAAAAATCTCTCCTTTAATTCTCCATTTTTTCTTTTGAGAATGTTTCATGTTTTCCATGATAGGTCTTATTTGTATACACATTCTTCCTATTTCTTCACAAATACAGATATTCTTGGGCTTACTTTTTCATGGGAAAAGAAAGAATTCTAGGTTAAACTTTATAATCCTATTTTTCATAAGCACTTAATAAATTTTAAAATTAGTTATAAGCTATAAATTTGAAATTTTCGGGAACAAATGAACACAAAGTTCTTAATTTTATGATATTCATGAGAATTTAAATGGAAAGAAAAAAGAAAAAGGAAGAGAATTTATTGAGAAAAACAAGAAGGTATGAAAAGAGTCAGAATAAATTAAACCAATAACAGATAGTACAAATGAATTGAATTTTGGGAATTAAATTTGTCACATGCAAAATTCACTTTTTACGTTTTCCAAAAAAAGAAAAATGAATGTTGCCATGTACGGATTTCGTCTCTATGTAATTCCAAAAAGTAATTAATTAGTAGAAAATAAACCAAATACATTATTTAAATAACCATTAAAGTTAAATAATAAATAAATAAAATGGTTGACAAATCCATTGTCAAAGGGTTGAAAATAAAAAAAGTAAAATAAAACTCACATCTCAGCCACTAATTCTGCTGAGTCATGTGGGATTGGCTTTCCAAATTTCTTTTATATTTTAAAAGTTAAAATTATAAAAAAAAAAGACTTGAATAAATTTTCATATGATTGGCTTTGAATATTTCTAAATGAAAATATTTTATTGCTTATTAAAGCCAAAAATAATAATAATAATAAATAAAAAGTGGAAATATAAACGATTTGGTGACTGGTTTTTAGAAGGTGAAAGGGGGAAAAAACAAAGTAGTTGAATTGGGACAGTTAGTTTGGATTTGGAAAACAATCCAAGGCGGCTACCTGTTTTCATCTGCACATTCCGCAGCTTCCAATTCCGTATTTTTTTCTCTTAATTTATAATGCCAAAAATGGAGTTTCTAATTTCTATTCTCGACAAAAAAAAAAAAAAAGAAAAAGAATTTGGTAATAATATTGAAGCTAAATTTTAAATTTATGGAGAAATAAAAAATATATATATATATATATATTCATACCCTACCATAAAATTGAATAATATAAAGATTGGATTAATTCTATTTCTAGTAGTCGTATTTATAAAATCAATGAGACCATAATTTAACTAGCATAAAATATAAGAAATAAAAATTGTGAAAAAAAAATTAATTAAGGATTTTTATAAATGAAGTATTATTGAGGTTATTATTTATTTAATTATTTGTAAGGATCATTATCTAATGATGTATCGATCCTTTCCTAACAAAAAAGAACCTTAGAAAGGTTGTATGATGAACAAATCCACATGCAAAATTGGGAATAAAGTATGGAAGTCAATTGGTGGAATTTTGCAGATATTCTTAATTAAGAACCGTTCAAATTAAAAACTGAATATTAAAATTAGTTAGATCTGTGGGATTTGACTTGGATTTTGTTAATTGTTTTATACAATCAAATGAATTATGGTTTTAATCTTAATCATATAATATCTTTTTGGATCAAAACAATTACTAAAAGGATAGACATTTAGTAAAAACAAAAGAACTATCAAACATAATTTGAATTACATAAAGTCTTTAAGTTTATGGAATCCTATTATTCCTAAATTTTTATGACTCAAACTATCCAAAAATCAATAATTAGACCAAAATTATTCATTTATTTGAAAAGGGTTTTACATTCTCTAGGGAAAAAAAGTATAAAAAAAAATCATTTATTCTTGATGTTCTTCAGCTTTGTTTTGAAGGTTGAGTAATTTTTAAAATATAATTTAAGGTATTTTTCCTAATGAGAAGAACTGATATCTTTATACGGATCACACAGAGCAATAAAGACAAAAAACAAAGATCAGATATTGCAGAAGCAACAAGCAAATGAGAATCAGGGAAGAGAACTAATCTGAGTGAAGATATCTGATGTTGATCTGATTGTAGTGTTGGAGGAAGCTTCTCTACTCAACCACAGCTAACAAATCACCAGCTTTGCAGAAACAGTGCTTAGAATCTGTGCCCAAATCCAGCTGACAAACCACCACCAACATTCCAAATCAATCTAAAAATATAATATAATCGAGAAATCAATCATTAAATTTATAAGTTGGGTTCGTTTATTGAGTATAGCTCAATAGATAAAATAATAATTACGCTCATTCGAATTTGTTTGCTATGTGTTAACAACGAATATAAGGAGGTTATAACTAAAGTAGAACTAAGAGAGGCTACTACGGTTGTATCTTGATCCCGAGTATAGCTCATTTAATTCATTGCTTTCATTTCGAAATCCGAAATGGAGAGAAGCAGAAGGAAAAATAATGTGCAGGGAAAGCAGAAAGATGAACATGAATAGACTTTATGACATGAATAAGAGGGTCAGCTAACACGCAAGATACAACTTAGAAGCCAAGACTTCCAAGGATGCGTCGCCAAACCATTCATGTTTCCTACAAAAGCATCTCTAGTAACAGTCTCATACAGTGATTGATGTAATAATTTAAACCAACCAACCCTATGACCAGATTTTTTGAGCCAAGAACTTTTTGGACATCCAATTCTAAGAGGAATGGTGCATAGACAAACTCAATTCAAACAAATTTATAATCCATACTAAACCTATGATCAGATTTCTGAGTCAACGAGTTTTTTTTTTCTTTTTTTTTTTTCCACTTTTAACAATCAAAGATATGGTTAAAAAGCAACATCCATCCGCATTCTTGATTGCAGCACATTTGTGGTATGATACCCAATAATTGAAAAGCAAAGCTGGACCATAAATAATTGAGAGAATATTCAAGCCAATATGATGACTCCACCAAACCAAACGACTTACCTGACAAGCATTTATATCGGATATAATAACTCGGAAGGTAATAGACAATACATCAAACAAATTCTACAAATTCATTCGCAATTTTTGTTGAGCGTGAGATTACCTCAGGGCGCTACTCAAGACGAACGAGTATACTCTATCAGCTTGAGGAACCACCTTAAATCCAAAAGCATCATAAAATGCCAATAATAAGCATTAAAATCAAGTTCATGAGTTCAATAACACAAAAGAAAGAAAAAAAAAAAAAAAAAAAAAAAA